TTTGAAGAGATGGAGCAGTTCCTGGGCATATGCTTTCACATGTCTGTACATGGCCTGCCACACACCCGAATGTTTTGGAGCACAAAGACAAGAGTGGATTGTGTGGCTGACACAATGTCAATGAAAAGATGGGAGGCTATCAAACGCTTTCTACACTTTGCCAACAACGACGAACAGGTGCCTGCTGGACATCCAGGTTATGACAAGCTGTTCAAAGTAAGGCCACTCCTAACAGCTTTACAGGAGAGTTTTAATCACATCCCAATGGATGAGCACCTGTGTGTTGATGAGCAGATTATACCATTCAAAGGTAAAAGCCAGCTGAAGCAGTACATTCCAATGAAGCCTAAGCGCTGGGGCTATAAGATCTTCGTGCTGTGTGATGGGAATGGCATAGCCTACAATTTTGATTTCTACACTGGTCCAATCGCTGCAGTGGAGGGCTTTCCAGACCTGGGTGCCAGCGGAAATATTGTTTTGAAGTTGGCCTCAATTGTGCCGATGTATATGTCCCACAGAATGTTTTATGACAACTGGTTTTGCAGTGTTGATCTTCAGGTGCAGCTTGAGAAAGCAGGGATCCACAGTGTGGGAACTGTAAGACAAAATAATCTTGCTGGATGCACCTTCACAGAGGACAAGGTTATGAAGACCTGCAGACGTGGAACATATGAAGAAAAAGAGACCACACATGACGGTACAGCACTAACAGCAGTGAAATGGTTAGACAACCGCCCAGTTATCCTCCTAAGCACATTTGCAGCAGCCACTCCAACCTCAACTGTGAAGCGGTGGGACAAGAAGGAGAAGGAGGTCATTACAGTGACATGTCCAAACATCATTCAAGTCTACAACGAAAGCATGGGTGGGGTGGATCTCTTGGATTCTCTCATTGCTCTGTACCGCACCAAAATCCGCTCAAAGAAGTGGTACCACCGCATTGTGTTCCATATGATGGACATGACCGTGGTGGAAAGCTGGCTGCTCTACCGGAGAGACTGCAAGGATGTGGGGCTCACACAAAATGCACAACTCAGTCTGCTTGACTTTAAAATTGACATTGCACACTGCCTTTGCAAAGAAAACAAGGGTGGGCTGAAGCGCAAAGGTAGGCCCTCACAGAGCACTGAATCAGCTCTGGATGGGAAAAAACATCGGAGGCCTGCCTTCCCACTGCCACCGCAGCCAGTACGACTAGACCAGACCAACCATTGGCCTACCATGGTTTCTCAGAAAGGCAGATGCAAGTATCCTGGCTGTAAGTGTATCGTTAGGGTGAAGTGCACCAAAAGTGAGGTGTACCTGTGCCTCACCTCTGAAAAAAACTGCTTCATGAATTTTCAATCATAAAAAAGGTGAAGTTTCAAGGATTATGGGGGGGCTCATGTTCATAGTCTTCCTCTCATAATAAGATAGCGTAATGTTGAATTTTCATGAACTGCGATGTTTTTGGTTATATGCCAATGTTTTATGATACATGCTATACAGTATTATATTTGTTTTTAACTGTATACATTTGCAATTTAAATAATATTCATAAAAAATGTAATGAAATTCAAAGAATATAAAGCATTATTCAGCAAAAAAGAATGGAATAAATAAAAGCACAAGTTGTTGGAGAGTATGTATAAGGTGTCGTTTATAAGTACTGTGTTAAAGCTTATAATACTGTAGCACCAACTGAATCAACACAAACACATTTCTGAGGAAAAATATTAATTTTAAGTAAACTTACAATAGTGGATCTAACTTAGAAGTGTATGTTGTTGCTGTATGGCAACATATCATAAAGTACCTTAAAATAATATTTTTTTCCAAATTTTTTTTTTTACAGCACTTCAAGTTAAGCCATTCTTAGAAAAGAAAAAGTTTCAAATATTTTTTTCTATAGGTCTAATGCGTGCGGTAGAGGGTTAAGGACTAGTTTGACCAACTAACTATTAACTAACGGGTGATCAGTCTTACTATTTAGATTCAAATTAGACCAATCTATGTTTTTTATGTAACTGTCTTAATAATACTAATAAATGGCCTTTGCTGTATTTATTTACACAATGTTATTAGTTTAAACAAAGAAATAAACATCAAATATACAATTTTACGTAAATGACTTAAGAAGAAAAAAAATGAGATGACTAATAAAAATAAAATATAGAATATATAAAATAATAAAAGACGGAATGACTTTGAAAGCCAACAATACCTGATGAAACTGACATCAGATCTAAACTAACGCCCTCCTGTTTTAACATGATGTTATCAGGAGTATGTGAATCTGAACATCATTACTACACATTTAAGCACTACATGAAACTAAAACAACATTCATACTGTTTAATTGTATTGTTTCAGTCGAACTGCCTTTATTTAGAGAGCAAAGACAGAAAACAAGTGATTTCATATTCAAATAAGCAGTCTAATAAACTCCTATAAAACATTAGGCCTATGACTGGTTTGTATTCTTACCTTTGTGTCTGCTGTTTCTCTCTGATGGTCATTATCTGCTCAATAAAACATAAAAGTAAATGTCACTGAACAGTGTGTCCATTCACTGTATAAAATGATAATCATAGCATAGCACACTGGGAAGCATTTAGTGTGAACCACATGAACTTTGCCATAAAACTGAATTCATGCTTGCGTTCTCTGTCAAAAGTCTGCTAAAATATGTAAGAAGACACTTCCTTATTAATGCTTTGCATTAGCTGCAACATGCTTTATCAGAATACATCAGCTGAAGAATTTGCTTACCAGCGTTTTTAGGTTTCTTCTTTCTGAGGATAAAAAAAAAGTAAATTATATAAAGTCACATACAATTTTCCATCTCTGAAGCATATAAAAAAAGAGCAATCAGCCGGTACACTCTGACAGTGCCCTAATAAACAATACAGTTATTTTAGATTACCTTTTAAGTCCCAATAAAAAAAATAAATACAAAAACAGAAATTAAATACACTGCTAGTACTTCATCTCAGGACATAATATCAAGCTATTTAGAAGACATACCTTCGGTTGCAACTTAAAAAACTTCCCATAGTTCCAACAAGCTCAATATGGTTTGTACACCACGGTATAAATATTGAAGCTACAACCACAAACTGCAAACTGCTGAAACAGTGTGGTCTGAACCCAGAGTTTCTGACCTGCCAGAATAAGATATGAGAGGGATTGAGAGAGTGATTCAGAGTAAAGCGGTCAAACAACAGACTGCTTGTATTTCATCTGTATTTCCTGTGTTCTGCGGTTTTCATTTGCCTTCGAGTGCATGACACGAAGACATGCTCATTTTCATGTGTGTGTGTTCACACATCTATTAGTGGTCATTGTGTGTTCTCCTATCTACTGTATAATGTGTGTGTGTGTGTGTGTGTGTGTGTGTGTGTGTGTGTGTGTACTTGTTTAGCCTTCAATGTGAGGACCAAATGTCAAGTAAGTAAATCATGAAAGAAATTGACATTGTGGAGCAATTTTGTTGGACCCCTCAGGGGAAAACAGCATATAAATCATACTAAATGATGCGTGTGTATCATTTATGCTTTTCTGTGACAGATCTGCTCTATTATTGTCACTGATATGTCAGGTATGCAAATAGCTGTGACTAGGAAAACAAATACATAGATATATTCTTTAATTTCCAAATGGGTGGGGGGAAAAATACCCATATCTTCAAAGATATGATACATGCTCAGTTTCTGACAGTTGATGCGCTGCTTAGGCACAGGAAGTTGTGCATTTCCTTCAAGACCACAAAGATAGTTACTCATACTCTCTAACTACTTTGCATTATTGACAGGAAATTGGCCTAGCTTTATAATATTTACAATTATAATTGACTTACTTTAGCGAACTGCCTATAAGTTTATGCCTTCAGCTTGTATTAATAGCAAACATAAAATGCTTTTTTTGTCCAACTGTGAGCAGCGTTAATTTCGGTCAGCAGACTCTTCCTCTGCACTGACACCATTAGCCCTGTAGGGGTCAGTATGACAACGCTTCAAATACGAAAACATCTACAATACCTTGATTTTGGGGGGAAAAATAAACACTCAGAGAAAGTGTATACAGTAATACCACCCCAGCTTTGTAGCACTAACGACAAGCAGGAAGTTATAGAGTTAGTAAGGCACACTTTTCTAAAGACAGTCTAAGACAGCAAGCATTTGACAACTTTGATGTTAAACCTTGATGTCAGACACATTTACTTATGGTGGATTTCAGCGGGGATGAACAATTATCAATGCTTCATCTTCTTTAATCTCTTGCAACTGACTTTGGGTGAGAGTTATAATCTTATGCATATTATTTTTAAGGCAGGTTACTGTTAAATATTGTTTCATGACAGCCCTCATAAAGTTTTCTTAACAGTAATCTTTCAGACAAGAAGTTATGCAGATATGCTGTTTTTCAAAGACAATAATCAGTGTTCATAGGTCAATGTATTTCACACGATCAACAGTGTTTCAGTGGTGAATCTATGCAGAGTCTCAGAGACACTGCTTCTACACTCTTAAAAATAAAGGCTCTCTCTTGTAAAAGGTGCACACATATCTATATGGAAGGGATGGACTGTATTGTTTCCTCTCCCTGAACTTCCACTGGGGACTTCCATTGATTCAATCGAATGGAAATACCACACAATCAACAAAACAATCTTACTGGCCAAGATAAATCTAAAGAAGGAACAGGAATCAAGAATTTTCAGCAAGAGGACTGGAATGCAAATAATGGAGAATGGTACACTTCACATTGAAGATGTAAAAGATGAAGACTCTGGGAACTACTCTTGCACCATAATTTTCCATGATCAAAGGATGTGGATGGAGCAGATTTATCTTGAAGTACTTCATGGTACCTTTCTCTTCTATTTTACGCTTAACTCAAGGTCATTTCTCTGATGATAGTCTTGTGATAATCAGACTGTCGAGTCTGTCAGGGATTTGTATATTTCTTGGTACTAATCGTTTGTTTTCTCAGCTAAAGACTTGACGACTGAACCGAACAGCAAAATGTACACCACAACATTTAAACCATCAGGTACCTTTCATTCACTGCATTTGATGTGGACATAAAGGTGCATTCTATTACTCAAATAACAAAATTGCCTTTTTCTGAAAGAACATTTTGATTCTACTTTTTTTTTGTCAGTCAGTCACGTACACATACAAAAATGCTTTTAAAATAATGGGTGGTTATTGTGAAACTGCAATGCATTAAGTCACTTCCCCATGAATGATGAGTAGTAAAACAATTGAAATGGGTAATTTTGTTTTGTTTTGCAAAGCCAGAATGCCACTGCAACATTATTATAAAATAAGGAAGAGCACAAGGTTAGTTTTTCTGGTGTTTAGGAAATATCTATCACACCGCATTATTTCTTATTGACAAGCCGAGTCATCTTTTTAAGCGGCCAATAGCCATCGTAGATGTCACACATTTTTTACCACACAAAAAATGTAATATAATAAAAATAAAATACGTTTCCTTACGATAAACAAAAATACAGAATCTACTTGGCTACAATGTACTGGACTTTCTACAATGTTGAATCTTCACATACATCATACAGCTTGTTACAGCTCATTAATATTT